CAACAGACCTGATTTCTACCTCAGGCCAGGCCTGAGATAATGCAAATTTGCTTCTTAGAGCACTAGTATTCTTTTTAGAAACTTGTCTGTTTCACCTTAGCGCCAGTTATGTTTCTCTGCTCAACAGAAGCTGCACTGATGGGCTGCCAAGAGGCTTGAGCGGGTAGAAGAGGTATTGTTTAGTTGGAAGGGAGTTTTCTGTCAATCTGGATTAAAACTAACAAACCCAAAACAGAGGGGGTTTCAATTATATTGCAAAGTAGTTCTCCCTGGGAAAAAGGATAGAAGCTTTAGATCTACCGGGTCTTTGCTTCAATAATGGTTCAGCTTGGCTCACCCCGGGTGAGACAGTCTAACTAAGGCTATGAAAGACAGTTCCCCAAAAATGATACATTCCAAGAGCGGTCCCTACCCTGCTCCTCCCCCAACCAAGTGCAGGACCTGTGAAAAGAAAGAGAGGCACAGAAAACTGTAGCTGGCTCCACAAGGAGTCAAAACCCGAGCATCATTATCAGTTGTGGCATCATCAATGAGTGGTAACAGACACTGAGTCTTCCGGTAATTAATCAAAGCAGGCCATCCGAATCATTCATTCTTTTGTCTGGACACAAGACATATGGTGGCCCCTGTGAAAGCTAAGCATCTGTTTCCTTCATTATATGAATGTCCAATTAGTCACACAGGGTCTTCCCAGGCACATAGTTTGGTTTATTTATTTTCTACATATAGCCCCTCTTTTTTGAATTTCCTTTCCATTTATGTCTCCACAGAGCACTGAATAGAATGCTATACAGTAGGTTCACATTAGTTATCTATTTTACTGTTGTTGTGGTTTAGTTGCTCAGTCATGTCTGACTCTTTTGTGACCCCATGGGCTGCAGCCCGCCAGGCTCCTCTGTCCATGGGATTTCCCAGGCAAGAACACTGGAGTGGGTTGCCATTCCTTTCCCAAAGGGATCTTCCCGACCCAGGGATCGAAAACATGTCCCTTGCACAGCAGGTAGATTCTCTACCACAGTGTATGTATGTTGATCCCAATCTCCCAATTCAACAGTCTGGTTTCTTAGTAACAATTTATATGGTACGGGTTATGCTTGCTGGTATAAACCTCAAAAACTGGATGAAAATAACACTCTAAGTACTGTTATATAAGGACAATGGGATTATGAGTAGCTTTGGTCTTTTAATCAACTACTTAAGGTCGATTTTTCATTGTGATGTAGAGACATCATTTCTAAAGATATTTTAAAAGATAGAAAAATAATCCACAGCTTTCAAAAGATTTACTCCTTCTCCAGGTCCAACAACTAGAGACTTCCATGTAGGGGCCACATCCTCAAGTCATAAAAATGGCAATTTTACTACAAGGGAAAATAACTTTTCACTGCCAGTCCTCACCCTCTGGCTGAAGACAGACCATATCTTAGGAACTGCCTATAAAAACCCTCAAACAGATAAGATCCTTCACCTGCATCATAGCTATTCACTCAGCAATAGGCTCGTAATTTCCTTTCTCCCTAAATGGCTTACATACTCTGTTGAAGTTTGTTTCTGTAATACACACAGACACTAAATCTTTCAGAAAATAAAAGCTCCAGGAATTTCTCAGTCCTGAGCACCTAGAACAGTACTGGCACAGAGGAAGTGTTTAACAGTGTTAAAGGAGCTAATGAACAAATGTGATTTTCTATTCCTTTGGGTACAGTGAATAAACAATAATTAAACGTGTTTCTTGAAAAAGTTTCTTGATATCACAAAAGACTCTCCACCACTGGAAAAGTTTAAACACTTCTATTAGGCATAACGCAGAAAATATTTCTGCATTGTGGAGGAGGCTGAACCAAATGACTTCTAAAACCCCTCTAAATCCCCCAGACCCTATAACTTGATGAACACCACTCCCTGAGAGGATCAGCTGCTTAAAGCCTGTTCCCAGGTAGAGTGAATTACCATGCTCTGATTAAAATAAAGTTAATAGCTGCCCTGGGACTTGGATGCCAAAATACTAACTCATCCAAAATGTGGACACATCCCTAGGGAAGAAATGCTCTTGCTAATCACCAGTCACACTCTGGAAACAGCAGATGTGCCTGAGGGGCCTCTGAGAGCCAAATACAAAATCCATTCTTGGGAAAACGGCGCAGCTAGGGGTCGAGATCAAAATGGAAATAAACAGAATCGCACCAGACTGAAGCTCCTGTAGCCCAGCCAACAACAAATCCACTTGAGACGTCTCAGTTTAGCCTTGAAATTAAAACGGTTATAACTGAATACAACCACTTCAGAAGACAGAAAATATTACCTCTGGATATGTAAAGATTTTTGCTCAGTAAAATGTCGTATTTACCTGGGATATCAGATTAAGATGTTCAAGTCCAAGAATGTCAGTCTCAAGTTGAGGGCAACTTATTTTGACTGAACTTTTCTTCAATCTGAATGAGAGAGGCAGTCTGTAGGGAAAGGAGATGTGTTCATGGTTTCCTAAACAACTAAACAACAACAACAACAACAAAAACTAATTCTAAAGGACTAACAAGGGACATTCCATCCACAATCAACTTTTAAGTAATTCTTTTTTCTCAACACACCCTTCCCTTCTTTTGCTCAAATCATAGACTAGGTAAGGGAAAAAGAGCGGGCATCGAATTCTATCATCAAGGACTCTGCATAGAAGCCTTGGGGCTGGGTTAGGAGAATCTTTTGGTTCACTGGGGTTGTTCTGAAGACCTAAGTGCAAATACTACACTGAGACAGTAACCGAATGAACAAAGTGAAACCGTTCAACAATTCCTTGCAAGCTGCCTGAAAAGACTGTAACTTTGTAGTCAACTCCTGATCACCCCTACCACAACTTGATCCAAAAAAAGTCTTCTGTTTTCAAACTGTAAGTAATTTAATCTTAATTCTAGTGACAACAGGGAATGTGCAAAGAAAGCAGTCACCTCCTCTGTGCACATATACTTTGTAAAGTCACCTCTGTTTTTGAATGAGCAAGGTCTTACACAAGAATTCTGAGGGATTAAGTTCACATCTGGTTGGCAGACCTGGTGTTGGATATGATTACGGCCACACAATTGAGTCTTAAATCCACATACTGTTCCTATTTAGCTGACATATATGAACTAACTAATTTATAGAAAATGTGCAGCAAATTATTTCTTCCACCTCCCCCTTGCCCCAAGAATGTACCAGCAATAGGTGTCACTGAAAGGCATCCTCCCCCTACACACACAGAATATTTGCATTCCTAGCCACTGTCCAATTATCTTGTTATTTTAGTTATCTGAATCACTGCTCTGGAAATGAGAGAGAGAGAGAGAGAGAGAGAGAGAGAGAGAGAGAGTGTGTGTGTGTGTGTGTGTGTGTGTGTTGGGGAAGGGGGTAGGGTAGGCGGATGGGGGTGGTAATTTAACCAGATGAACTTGACCTCTCTGGACCTCAATTTTCTCACCAGCAAAATAAAGGGATCAGCCCAGAGACTTTGCAAATTCCCTCAGTAACAACAATCTATGACCACTAATTATCAAGAGGAGGCCTGAATTCTGAAGAGTATGTCATTAAATATTAGAGTTTAAAATGCCTAGAAGACCCACAGTTACTCTTCAATAGGACCACTGCACATGTTCCGACGGTGGAGAATGCCTTCGAAAACACCTCTGGCAGCTGAACCACCAAACCTGGTTAGAACCCGGAGAGGGGCTCCGCTAAATGAAGAGGAAGGGGTGCAAAAAGAGAGGGTGTCTGGGGGAGGAGTTGCAAGAAGAACCGGGAGCGGGGGGGTCTGAGAGCAGAGTCTTGCGTTTTGCACTTCTGGGTTTTCAGAGCTTCCAGGATCTCCCGGAGACTTGGGTCTATACCTACAAACCCTCCGCAGCCACCACCTGCAGCTCCACAGCGGTGAGCAGGCGAAGAGGAAAGGAACCGGCGGTGACGGAGCGGGAAGAGCCTCTCTCAGAGAGCCCACAAAGCCCGTGGGACGAAAATGGACTTTGGAGAGCGACAAAGAAAGGGGGAAACAGAAAGAAAAAGGACTCCGCCTTCCCCACCCGGCTCTGCTCCTTTCAGTTAAAAAAAAAAAGGAAAAGGCCGCCGCCGCCCCTTCCCTTCGCCCTTCACCCGGGATGCGGAGCCCGGCTGAAGCCGCGCCCTTGAAGTCCCGCTGCCGTCCAGGCCGGCTCCGGAGTCGCCCACTGAGCCCTGCACCCCCGCCCCGCCCGCTAGCCCGCGGCCTGAGCATCCCCTCCCTCCCTCCCCGGCTCCCTCGCCCCAGTCCCGGGGCACCCGATTCTCCACGCACCCGCCATCCCTTCCTCTTCCCGCGCCCCCGCCTCCGGCCTTCCAACCGCAGAGCGCTATAAGACTTCCACCCACCCGGACAAGGGGGCCCTTTGAAAACTTTGTCTGTGTATCTAGGGCTTTTGTCCACATCCTGGGCAGGGCCCGGTTACCGGCGTGGGTGCCGGAGGGTGTCCGGAATCTCACAAGGCACTGGGGAAGCCACCACGGAAATCCCTCTCCTTTATTTTGGAGCCGGTTTCTGCCACCCCAAGACACGGAGCTTGGACTAACAATTCCCACGCCCTGGTCGCCCCTCGGCGCGGGGGAGCCGGGAGGAAAGCCCCGCACCCGGCGCCTTTCTCCACCGCCACGAGAGAAAAGCTGTGCGCGGGGAGAGGGAGGCAGCCAAGAAACACCGTGGCCAAAACGACCCTGTTAAAAAATAAAAAAATAAAACAGGAAAGGGGTCCTTTTTCTCCCACATCCCCAGAACCGGGGCGATCCACTGTTGCATCACGTAGTAGCCGAGCCTCCCGGCTCCTCGCCCTCCCCTTCGCCCCAGACGCGCGCCCAAATTCATGCACACACCCCACCGCCGCAGCCGTCCCGCGCCCCCGCCCCGGCCCCCGGGGTCCCGGCCGATACCCTCCCGCCCAGCGGGAACCCCCCACCCCCACCAGCGCCGGAGGAGAGGCGGACGAGGAAAGCGAGGCCCCACTCACAGATGGTCTCCCCACGGCCACGGCCATCGCGGCGGCGGCTCTGGCTGCGCCCGGGTGCTCTCCGCCAACACTAGCGGCTGCTGCTCGGGCTCGGGCTCCGGCTCGCCACCCCCGCGCCTCCCTCGCGGCTGCGCTCTGCTTGCACCCGGATCCCGCGCGCCACCAGCAGCATCTGCTGCCCCCACGCCGCCGCCCCTCCCGCTTTATTAGAGCAACATGGCCACCCGCCTGGAAGGGACCATTTGCTTCCCCAGGAAGGGGTGTGAGCAGGCGCGCCCTGGCTGAGGCGGTGGGAGGGAGGATGGTGGGCGGGTCTCCAGCCCGGGTCAGCCAGCCCCGGCCGCCCGGCTCGCCCTCCCCGAAAGGAGTGATCGGCTCCGAAAGGACCCGCTCCGGTGCCACCGGGAGCGCCCCCCAAGCCTGTGCGCTGGTCGCCACCCCCCGTTCCACCACGTGCTGGAGTCCGAGTAAAACCCTGGGCGCAGAGGTCCCAGCCCTGGGTCCCTCCACGCGCTTCCCCAAGCTGGTAGCTGGAGGGGCTGCGAAGAGGGAGACGGGGCCCTGGGGCGAGACAGGTCCACGCGGACAGCATCTCGCCGAGAGTTAGCCCCGGGCAAGCACGCTCCCTTCGGAGGAATCTGCTTGAAAGGGGAGCGGGCCACTAGGGAGAGCGGCGGGCGACCGAGGTGGGGCTGGGCAGACACCCGCGAGGGGAGAGTTGCCCCTCCACAATTCTTCTCTCCTAAGGGAGAGACTCTAAGGCAGGCAGCTGGAAGCTGTCACTGTCGCGTGCGGCCGGGTAGGCGACCCCACCGGAGAGGAAGAGGCCGGAGGAGTTGCAGCCGTGCACCGCTAACCACCGCCTGCCAGAGAGGAAGAAAAGGACTCCCCAGCCGGAGAACGAAAGCAGCTGCTGACTGCCCTAGAGCGTGGGGGCCGAGGCCTCCCCCGGGTGTAACCGGAGAGCTGGACACAAGTGACAGCGCTGCCGGCCTTTTTTGATCGCTGGAGACCCGACCCCACGACCCGGAGGCGGGCGCGCAGGGCGGCGGCGGCGCCAGGCGGGTGACCCTGGAGCGGGTGCGACTCTGAGCGCGTGGGACTGGAGACTGCTTTGCGGTGGGGAAGGTTTTTCCGGGTGGTGTTGGGGCATTGCTGTGTGTCTGTGCTGCGGGAAGAAAGACAGAGTCCCGCTGCACGCGGGGTGGCGCGGCGCCTCGGCCAGGGCTGGGCGGCGAGGTGTGTTTGGAGTGCTGTAGATGCAGGGTCGCGGTGGCGGGGTGGCGGGGGGAGCTGACGACGCGGTGATCGAGGATAGCGACCGGTCGGGGAGAGGGAAACCGCTGGATCCCAGCGCGGGGAAGGTGTGGTGAGGCGATGAAGGGCTGTCTGTGATCAGCCCACGGGATTGCGCCCTTGGGGAAATCCTGGGCCTATTGAATTAGGTGAAAAGACAAACCGCCTCTTCAGACTGGGGCGCCTCAGAGTCTGAGCTGAGACTTCAACTACCCGGGTTTCTCGCGACCTTGGGTCTGCCGCTCCAGCTGTCTCTGCCCCCAAGGGTGCAGGATTCAAACTCGCTGCGCCACCTTTGCCCAAGTGTTGAGTGGGCGTCCCGCTGCTGCGAGACAGACGCTGGGTTGCCCCGGGAGGGGTCGAGGGGCTAGAGGCAACCCAGGGTGAAGTCCACCCTCAGGGTGCCGATGGGACAGCGGGAAATGAGAATACGATGAAAGAGCTCACAGTGAAAGGACTTCCCAGGTGGTTCAAGTGATGAAGAAACCGCCTGCCAATTCAGGAGCCCCTGTTCCATCCCGGGGTGGAGAAGATCCCTTGGAGGGAGAAATAGCAATCCCCTCCAGTATTCTTGCTGGAAAATCCCATGGACAGAGGAGCCTGGCTGGCGAGCGAAGGTGGGGTTGCAGAGAGTTGGACAGGACTGAACACACACTCGATGAAAGAAAGATAAGCAGCTCCTCAGTCTGTAGCCCAGAACCTCAGAGCACTAACCTCTTCAGTGTCTTCCCCTAGGCTTCAGATCTTTGGAAGACAAGACCACCGCTTTATGTCAAGCAGACGTGAGGCACCCTATGTACTGAGTTAGGATTACCAGGTACATGGGTGCTGTGCAAAGGGAGGGGGAAGAAATACTTGATCCACACTCTCTGTGGTATATGGACATTCGGTTCCTTCTCCTGGAGGAAGGATTTAAGAGCAACACTGCCCTGGACCAGAGGTCTCAGGTGAACCCTATGAAAAGATGCTCCAGGAGCTGTCAACCCCGTAAGGGCAGCTGCAAACCAGCTCTCCATTTTGTGTTATATTGACCAAACCAGACTGCAGGGTTTTATTAATTGTTTTTAATTTTATTGACTTATTTTGTTTGCTTATATTGAAAGGGGCCAAAGGTAGCTCAGATGGTAAGGCGTCTGCTACAATGCGGAAGACCCGGGTTTGATCCCTGGGTTGGGAAGATCCCCTGGAGAAGGAAATAGCAACCCACTCCAATATTCTTGCCTGGGAAATCCCTGGACCTAGGAGCCTGGTAGGCTAGTCCATTGGGTCACAAAGAGTCGGACATGACTGAGGGACTTCACGTTCTTTCACCTATATTGAAAACAACTGATTATGTGAACTCCCTGACTTTGTTAGGTTATTTTATGCTCCTCACTAAAGCTCAAAGTCGTTTATTCCAAAGTTTCATCTGTTTGAGGAAACTCTTTCAGGATAAAATCATCAGTTAACCCAGTTTCTGCCTGAATTTTTTCACTGATGAGGGCAGTGCCTTAAACTGCCCCCTCCTTGTTTTTTTGGCAGGTAGGCATAAATATATTTAATAAATGTACAACTTAAGTCCTTTCAACCAAGGAATGCTGTTTCAGAATTTCATTTCTTATTATGAAGTTATTTATGTATCATTCTACAATTAGACTGGGCTTCCCTGGTGGCTCAGATGGTAAAGAATCTGCCTTCAGTGCAGGACACCCAGGTTTGATCCCTGGGTTGAGAAGATCTCCTGGAGAAGGGAATGGCAACCCACTCCAGTATTCCTGCCTGGAGAATTCCATGGACAGAGGAGCCTGGTGGGCTATAGTCCATGCAGTTGCAAAGAGTCAGACATGACTGGCAACCAAGCATAGCAACAACTACAACCTGACTACCTAGATTCAAAATCCTGGCTTTACTGCTTGATAGCTGTGTGACCTTGGGCAAATTACTTAACATTTCAGTGCTTCAATTTTCTCATCTTTAAAACCTGTTTAGATCGTTCCTCCCTAGTAGAGTTGCTAAGGGCTTAGATTACCTTTTTAATTCATTCCCAGCACTGTGCTAGCAACTAAAAAACTATTTTTTAATAGGATGCCTCTCTGACTCTTAACCAGTACACAGTCTGCTGAGAGACAGATGTTGAAGAACTCTAATAAATAGGCCAAATCTTAGAAAAGATATACGAATTATGGGATTTCAAAGCACAGAAGGAGCCATTCACTCTGCCTGTCAGAACAGGAAAGGCTTCACCAAAGAGGTGGAGGGGAGAGGGCGAGGAAGACATTCCAAACAAGGGATGAAAATGAGCAAAGATTCAATGGCTTAGGGGGAATGATGCTGTGGCAAGGACAGGTACTTTGGCATTTGCTAGTACGTAGGAGGGAGCCTGGTAGAGTGGGGAGCACACCACACTCCATATTATCACTTACCAGCTTTGTCACATTGAGCATGTTAGCCTTTCTTCATCTCATTTTTTTCCTATTGCAAAATAAGGTAGTAACAGTGAGTCCTGATACAGGATATCCATGTTCCTGCCCCCAAGAGAGCCGGAACGTAAAGGGCTTTCTTTCCCTTAGGTTCAGTTAGCTGAGTTTGGGCAATGGGGAGCAACAGCAATACAGCAGAGGAGTCTGGTTACTTATTGCCCTAGGCTCCCTTGCTATGGGATGACTGCAAGCTGGCTACTTCTGAAGCTCACAGTGACTAGGTTTTTCTAGGGTAACCCAGGATAACCTGGAGGAGGGATGGCAATTCACTCCAGTATTCTTGCTATTATTGTTCAAACCTTCTAGAAACTTTTGAGACTGAAAAACAGCATTGGTACCATTAGTAACTACACTAGGACAATAGGCAAAAACCAGGACTTATGGTCACCCTAGCTATTATTATAAGACGTTATTAATTGAAAGATGATCATACTAATACACATCTTTTACTGGAGTATGAGTGTCTCAAGGCAAGAGTGCTTATTTGTGTTACATGAAGTCTGATATATTCAGTAAACATTGAGCTGTATTGGAATAGAGATGAGACTATTCCTTCTCCAGGGTATCTTCCTGACCCAGGGATCAAACCACGTCCCTTACATCTCCTGCATTGGCAGGCGGATTCTTGACCGCTAGCACTACCTGGGAAGCCCGCACACATAAAGTCTGGTACATTCAATAAATGTTGAATTGCATTGGAATAGAGATGAGGCTAGGGGTTACAAAAGACTGTTATTGCCATGCTAAGGATTTAGAAAAGATTTCCTGATGCCGGGAATGATTGAGGGCAGGAGGAGAAGGGGTGACAGTTGGATGGCATCATCAACTCAGTGGACATGAGTTTGAGCAAACTCCGGGAGATGGTGAAGGACAGGGAAGCCTGGCGTGCTGCAGTCCATGGGGTCACAATGAGTCGGACACGACTGAGGGGCTGAACACCACCACAAATACAGACAGACGTAAATTAACAGTTCAGGACTGAAGTGGTAGAGAAGTCATAACTAAGTAATAACTAAGGGATATGGGATTTCTTTTTGAAATGATAAAAATGTTCTAAAATGTATCATGGTGACATGTAAGGTTCCAGTTGTTGTGTTCTGTATCAGCAGTAAGTATATTCAGTGTTTTAATTTTTAGTCATTCTAGTCATTTTTCAGTGGTACCTCAATGTTCCTTTTTTATTTGCATTTCTCCGGTGAATGATGGTGTTGACAGTCTTTCCATTTGCTTATTTGCCATGCATGTACCTTCTTGGACAGTAAAGAAACTGCC